AGCTAGTCTTTTACTAAAAAAAAGATATTTTGGAGTTGTACTACTCATTCAGTAACTCTGACAATTCTCTTTCGGTTCCCCTCTCCTTGTTCTTGTAAGTAGCGACCCAGGTGGTCTTAGAGTATTAGACGTTTAATTTCTTCCTTAAATTGAAAACATTTATTTATCGAATGCTCTTCTGCATGTTGGAAATCATAATATTGAGATTGGGCTCCACCACCTGGATCTCTTAACTGCCTTGGCCACTTGAAAGTTGTTTCATCCTTGATGGTCATTAGGATGTTGACATGTGAGTGTATTCTTTTTCCTTTTTCTGATCATGGCTCGTGATTCTCATGTGGTTCGAACGTTTTTCATAGTGAGATTTGATCAGTATCCCTTTGTTGTTATTTTGGTATTATTGTGTTATTATTATGATGTTTTTTAAGTGTTATTGGAGCTGTAATTTTTTTATTTTATTAAGGTGGGATTGTGGTGTTATTTTGGTGGGATTATGATATTATTTTTGTGGAATTAGGTTTTATTATGGTATTATTGGACTTGTAATTTTTCAGTTTTACTGAGATAGGATTGTGGTGCTTTTGAGGTGAAATTGTGTTCTTTTTGTGGTGTTATTTAGGTGTTAATGGAACTATAATATTTTGATTTTATTGTGTTGGGATTGTGGTGTTATTGATGTGATATTGTGGTGTTTTTATTGTGTTATTTATGTGTTATTGGAGTTGTAATGTTTCAATTTTATTGAGGTTTGATTGTGGTATTATTGAGTTGGGATTTTGTTGTTATTGTAGTGTTATTTAGGTGTTATTGGAGCTGTAATATTTCAGTTTTATTGATTGGGATTGTGGTGTTATTGAGATGAGTTTGTGGAGTTATTCTGGTGTTATTTTAGTATTATTCAGATATTATTTGAGCTGAAATTTTTCAATTTTATTGTGTTTGAATTTTGGTGTTATTGAAATGATATTGTGGTGTTATTTTGATGTTATTATTGTGTTATTAGAGCTGCAATTTTTTGATTTTATTGAGATGGGATTGTAGTTTTATTAAAATGAGATTGTGGTGTTATTCTGATTTTATTATAGTGTTATTTAGGTGTTATTGGAGATGGGATTGTGGTGTAATTCTATTGGTATTCTGTTATTTTTGTGTTATTTTGATATTTTGTTGTTGCATTCATGGTTTTGAGGTACTGAAGTATTTTTATTATTGACAAAATTGGAGCTTACAAAATGTCTTTTTTGTATTGTCTTCTTTTGTAAGTTATTGAACCCAAGGATGTTCAACTATAAATGTCGATCATCTGCAATAAGAGGTGCTCTTGATATGGTCAAACATACACTATCTTAGGTGACTATGAACAAACTGAAAGTAATGAATGGGCTTTAATTTTTCATTTCGCCTCCCTATCCCCAAGACAATGTACAAGCACTACACATCTTGACTTGTTGGGATTTTGAACAGATGATAATCAAGATGAGCAGGAAAGAATTAAGATTAGACCATGACCAAGTTACTCTACCGATAGGCATACCCAATAGAGGAAAACCAATCTATTGGAATAAAGCTCCCTCTTGTGGTGTAGATGCGAGACAAGTAAAGAATGACCTAGTTAAGGTTTCATCTAGGAGTACTCTATGCCCTTTGATGAACTATTTTTATTTTTTTCTTAACAAATTTATTTTTTTGTTCGTGCAACTTTAGTGTGCCCGAAGGGCCTTATATTTTTGGTGAGACTGTACATTGTTTTTCCTCCTTTAACTGGCATGTTGCTTTGTGTGATTTTTTTATTGGTCAATTGAATGTCGTTGTCTTAAAAATAATGTGGAATCAGCCATTGAGATTTATCAATATATTTATTTTTCTTCTCACGTTAAATGTGTTGTTTATGCCTTTTAAAATTTCTTCTTTTTTCAATCAAAGCAGATTATGATTATTTTTTTTATACAGCTCTGATTTTATGAGCAAACATCTTTGGTCACTCTTATCGCACATGAGGCTAAGCCTCACATGTTGAAGTGGCCAACAAATGTAAGTTGGAACTCATCATAGATACAACAAACCTTTAAGAGGCTCAACCCTGTACAGGTAAGAAATTTATCTCATTAAATATTTTTTTTCTTTTTGAAAAATTCAGTTCACATGTGATTGTAATTATGGATTTCATTGTAGGTTTACGATCATTTTTTGAATTTGAAAGACGATGAACACCATTTGTTCGCCCCTCCAATTGAAGGTCAACCGAGTCCAGTAAAACTAATTCCACACCATGAAACTCAATTCACACCATATTCACTAGTTTCATATGATGTTTATCCATTCGTTTCAAGTGACATCACTCAGTAGCCAATGTTTACAGAAGTCAATAATGGTTTTGAAGAAATAATTCAATTACTTAGAAATTACGGAATTTTTTTTTATTTTCAAAATTCAATAAACAGTCGAGTTGCTAATTTACAAAACACAGCAACATATCTTAAGACTGAGGTTAATAAATTAGAAAATAGAACAATTAAATTATACGGAAAATCAACAAAGAAAGAAACACATGAATCTTCAATTGGCAGTTTAATCTGAAGGGTTAAGGCCAGAAAAAATAAAAAGAAGAGAAAATTGAGTTTTCCTTATACTACATTTGAGTTGAAGAGAAGAGAAGTAACAAAAGATGTTGTGGAACAACTTCCTACATAAGATGTTATAGAACAACCGAAAATAACAGATGTTGTTAAACAACCGACAATAATAAATGTTATAGACACTCCAACCGTAAGGGGCAAAAAGTTGCTTGTAGATATTGAAAATGCAATAAAGGATGAAAAAATTATTCAAAAATTAAATGAACAACAAACAATAATATATTATGTATGAACCAACGTCGTAGCTCATCTCGAATGATATTAACAAATAGGACAGTAAGGCGGGCAATGTCAAGTGAGTTGCATGAGACAGATGAGTAAGACTTATAATGTCAAGAAGATTGGTGTCTTGTCTCAACTGAGGAATGGTTTCATCATTAAGAGAGAACCTAGCGATTGGAGTATTTACTGATGAATGTTGAGCTGGTGGTAAGTAAATTCCATTGGGTTGTGTTTGTCTTTCCCCTCGTAGAAGATGAAGGATCTCATGTTGAAACTCCTCAATCCCGCGTACTCAATCTTCTAAGGAATGACCCAAAGCACCTTCTTCA